TTATCCTGTTTACAAGCAGCTGTACAGTTTTGTGTCAGTCTTTGGTGCTGTTCGATGGGCGCTGTTTTATATTGGGGGACATGTTAGAGCGAAACCTATTCGAAAGATGCTCAAGGATGGAGATGAAGCTTGTTTCTGGCTGGACCCAAGATTTGAGACAAATCCTGCTTGGTTGGCGGATGAGAAGGAGAAGATGCTAGCTGATGAATTGGGAATGGCAGCGGTTGGATCATCTTGATGGGGAGGTGATGCTCGTGGAGTTGACTATACACAGAATGAATTTGGCCGAGTAAAAGACATCGAACTTGGAACAGTGTGTGGCCACTACCGCGCAGCTGGCGATGTAATAAAATAATATTTCTTTAAATGTTACTTACGATCTAAATGATATCGATCTCAAGTCCACGCTGCAGTTCGTGACTGTCACATGATATAAGCATCGCTTATACAAGGCTAGCAGTTTCACCGTGTTCGAAGGTAAGCGATCGCAATCTCCACGCTTCCAATAGCTTCCTCGGTTACCATCAATTATTCGTTTCTTAACTCAACTTTTCGGGATGTTTCTATAGAGTTACCCCAAACATGTCACTGCGTTCAATATGGCGTCACGTCAAAAACGCTGTCAGGCTTCCATCAGGCTTCCAAGTTGGTTGACTTTTTTCCATCGTCTGTGCATGATGCAGCCAATTTCCGAACTGATCTGATCTTCCATGCCCACCAAGAGCGGGAAGTGGTCCCGTTACATCATACCAATTTGCCTTTTTCAGCTGCATCAACCATCAACCATCACCATCATCAGAGTCACTACTATATCAACATCAACTCCATCCGATGGAGAGTTGTTAATGGTCTTCATAACGATTTCCTCCGCTTACGTATGTCCATTGTGCAAAAACCCGCCTCTGATCCTTTCCCAAGTTGCCTAGCAACTGGATCCTCCCTCCTCACAATGGATGGATCCTTACACTTGATACGAGCCTTAGCTCATGCTGCTAAATTTGGAGTGGCGATGCTGATAGGCCAAGACCCCGGATTAACCCCTTAATGCGAGTCCTAGCGGCCTCTAGCCAGAGACAAAAACTGGCCCGTCCCATGCTAAGCCCATCCCTCAGCCGACGCGTAACTTTTTCTTGTTCCTCCCATCACCATCACCAAAACCCAACATTCGTTAATTCTTTCTTCATCTACAATCGCTATCTATTCTTGCAACTTTTAATATACTATTTTTCTACACACAAACACAACCCGTCATCATGTCTTCCACAACCCTCAGCACCGCCAGCGCCGTCCCCACGGCCTGCACAAACCTCTATGACACCCCCAACCAGGACAACACCTGCGCCATGCCCTTCAAGGCCAACCACACCGAGATCATGCAGAAGTGCTGTGGTGACGCCAAGATCGTGAGCTACTACAACGGCTGCGGCCTCTACTGCGTCGCCCTCGACCAGACTATCGGCGACCTCGCAAAGTGCCTCTTCGCCAACGGCGCCCCCGACGCCGACGTCTTCTGCAGCGGCAGCAAGAAGACCACAAAGACAAAGGACGCCGACGTCCCCGCTACCGCCCAGGCTAGCGTCATCTCCGGCGACGATGATAAGGACGATGATGACAAGAGCTCTACTGGTACTGCTTCTGGTACTTCTACCAGCACTGGTACCAGCTCTTCTAGCTCAGAGACTTCTACTGAGAGTGGAAACGCTGCTGTTGGCTTCGCTCCCAAGTCTAGCATCAACACCCTTGGCCTTGCCATTGGTGCTCTGCTCTTCTCATCCATGGCTGCTGGTGCTTTCCAGCTGTAAGCAGCTACTTACCATTGGGATGTTATTGCTTCGGTCATTCTATGTCGATAATTTGGAAACGGATCAAATAATGTTTGCGTGCATCTAGCATTTGGGCGGTGCGTAAAATATTGATGGATATCATATCATAATTGGATTCATGTGCTTTGGAAAATGGAAATGTACACTTTAATTGGCAGTCTATCGCTTGATATACAAATTGCTCTCCCCCCAGCTTGTTTACCCCATTGTCGTGACTCGTGCAGCCTCCACTTGTAAGCGATAAACAGACTAAATTTAATCGTGATCGATGAATGGAACGCAGGCAGTGGAACGTCGTGCGACGTCATTGAATCCATGTGTAGACCATGTGTCGAACTGGAAATGGCTTGCCAAGGAAAACAGTCCAAAAGTCAATTCCACGAGGCCGTTTGCGATGTGAATCCGGGAAGACGGGTCGGCAAAGCAAGATAAGAGGGATTCGTGCTCACAACATATCGCCGCTTTTGGATGTAATCTTGCCCAAAAATGCTTCATTTGAAGGATCCTTTGGAAGAATGAAGTGCGATCAACTTTCGTCATTGACAAGAGTCTGTTGCCGGATATCCGCGCTTCCAAGACAATGTCACACCATGTTGGAGTACAGGGTAATCTTGATACTTTGAAGCAATCGATCAATTAATTAATTCTCTGTAGCTCAATAGTCACTTCGAGTTGTTCCCCGGGTGAGCCAGAACGTGTCCTATTAATTACCATAGCACATTTACTTATAGCTTTCTTTTTTTATACTGCAAAAATGTCCGGTAAAACAACTGCATAGTGTTCATTTTGTCGCGATTAGCAACAGTGAGCTCTCCTCCAAGTTAGTATTGTAAACAAGCAAAACGCAGGCAAGATGAGAATGTCTCAGTAATTGTTAGAGCCTCCTTCTCCTATCTCCGCATTCTCCCAATCTGCCCCTAGATCATCCCCAATTATTCCCATCGTCATAGACATCTCATAACCCCATTCCAACGATCACCAATCGTCCTCCCCCCCTCTTTCTCCCCAGCTTCACATTCCTTTGACATAGGGGGGGGGGGCCACCCTTGCAGTGTCTCACCACCTCTCTTGTTCGCCAATTAGCCTCGGACTCGGGAGCCAAAGCTTGTTCCTGAGACACAATATCATGCATTCCCGCCTATGTGCAAGAAATGAAGGGCTGGCCGATGCAGGGGAATTTTTATTTACTGCGGGTTTTGTGTGTTTTGTTTGATCTCCGTGCGATTTCGGGCGCTAGGTGCACCTTACAAGGCTGGAGGGGACTGGGGGTTGAAAAGGGAGATCCTGCAGGCGGGCATTTCACTTCGATCCTATGCTACTGTGATAGGCGGGTTACAGGGCTGTACAGGTCGGGCAATTCACTGCATGCTTTCGTCCCATTCCTCACATCTGCTATACGACGGAACAACAGGTTGCCGAGTGGTAGCCCATAAGCTTAACAAAACTAATAATCAGCATCACGACTTGAGTAATCATCAAGGTGTAAGCACCCATCACTAGGCTCTATTCCGCACATGCAAATTGACTTCCGGATCCGAAGATTACCGTGATAACACAAAACCTTGCTTCGAGTGATTGACGTGATTTAGACGCGCTAACACCAACGAGTCCCAACGCTTTCCAACGCTCCACCAAACGTTCAAGCCGCAAACGGCGCTCAACTGGGCTGCCGTTTAGTCCCCAACGCTAAAGAATAAGCGCTGTCACTCTTGCGGTCTTCTTGAAATAACTAGCGTAGGGTAGATTCCCGTCGATAATCACGGAATTTCTTTTGCCCTTGCATCAGTGACATCCAGATCTCAATGTGCAGAACATGGTATTGTATGCATGTCACCAGCCGGAGTAAATAATGAAGCTTGGGCCTGTTATTTGGTTTGGTATTATGAACAGTCGTAGAACCGTTGTACGATAGTATTTGGCAATGAACCCGATCGATACTCCATAGCTCTCATGACAAGCATCCACCACTCGATCGTTGGAGACAACACACTATGTTAGACCAAGACATGACCAAATGACTCCATCGCCGGTTCCTTGTTTCCGGTAATCTGAACCACACCATCTCTCCGCAACCATTCAAACACAATAATCCAAAAGGGCTTACGGCAGGATCGCAAGTGCAGCATTCAACCACACACAAGAATTTCCCAGCCACATACCTAGCTAAGCAATTGCAGGAGAAACACTGTAAATTACCACTTACGCGTCCGAACCTCCTGCAAGGCACAGGTATCTCACTGGCTGTGTTCGTCTAGGTGCAGTTGTGACACGCATTCTTCCCCTAACTGGACAGCCCGTGTCTGAGCCCCGAACATGCCTTTTGAAATTTTGTTGCTGAAGCCACCAGATGAGGGGGTACTGCCAGTATAGCCTGTTGTCACGGGCATCAATGGGGAAATGTGATAAGCGGGAAGGATTGTTTGACTTTAAACTAAGGTATTGTACATTTCTTGCAAATCTTGGCTTGTCTCTTGTTATCACTCGTCGGGGACAGGTTATATGCGGGTTATAACTTTATTGCAATGGTGCTTTGATAACGACTTGGTGTGGCTGGTCAACAAAAGTTTGGTACGCCTTGCAAAACAAAGTAACACTTTAAGCTTATGCATTTCTCTATACTGGTATTATTTACCAAAAAACAAGCGTTGTTGGAATTCGTAGGTGAAATTGCCTTATCAAGGGAGACATAGGGGGCCGCTCCCATATCTTCAACATCCAAAAACACACACTCCAAAAATACGAAAGCAAAAAAAAAGTCGTAGCTCGAGCGGTAGTCTGCAAATAGCTAGACAGAAACCTTGAAGAATGGAATACTATCGTCTAGACTGGTTTATCGTGCCTTTGCTGGTGAGACATTTTCTCTTTTGGTCCACACCGGGTGGAGTGATGGTATCGCCCTTGCATGTTTTCGGATCTAGCAACCGTGGATGAGGAATGTTTGCATGCAGGAGACCAATATTCCCAAGGGTGAGTACTCCAAATACCATGGAGTGAGGAATTGTCGAAGTGATGTGCAAGAATCTTGTATATATAGAGGCTGGTGTTCTTGTCCAGAATATTCTCATCTCATCCTCACTCTCAATCTTCCCATCGAGGACCAGGTCCATTCGTTTACAAAACCAAATTCATTCACTCACTTAATACATTCGCTCAATAAGCAAAAAAGCCTACCTAATCATGCGTTTCTCCACCGGTCTGCTCCTGGCTGCGGCCTCGAGCGTCATGGGTCAGCGGTTCACCAACTCCAGTATCCCTGCTACTGAGTCCGCTACCACCACCTCGGAGGTTGCTCCCACCGGCTCTGTTGAGCCTGCTCAGCCCGTCGACCTCGGCGGTGCAACACTCGGACCCGGTGCCTCGTTCGTCACTCGCGCTGATGGAAGCATCGCCATGTAAGTTTCTACATCTACAACGGCCCGCTCCCTAGTTTCAAACTCTAACCAGCCCATAGCTCCCTCATCGCTGGTCCCAATGGCATTGCCTCGTTCTCCATTGGCATCCCCAACGACGTCTTCTCAAGCTTCTCCGCTGGAGACTTGTTCATCATCCTCTTCGAGATTCTCGTCGAGCTTATTGAGACCCAGAAGCGTGCTGAGACCGACTGCACTCTTGATGTCACTTCCGACGGTGTGAGCATCTTCTCCGAGGGTCTCTCCACCGGATCTGGCTCCAAGTCTTCTGATAGCACACCTTCCACTGGCAGCCCCCCCACCCTCGAGTTCGTTCAGTCTTGTGGTGCTTCCTCCTCCAAGCTCGAGGTCTCCAACCTTGCTGCCGGTCCCCCTGGATCCAGCAACCCTGGCGGCGGTAACGGCGGTGGCGACTCTACTGACACCACTGGCACTGCTGAGCCTACCAACACCAACTCTGAGGGCGCTACCACCAACTCTGAGGGTCAGACCATCGAGCCTACTGGCACCGAGACTGGCGCTCCTACCAACTCTGAGGGTGCCACCACCAACAGCGAGGGTGAGACCGTCTTCCCTACCGGCACCCAGACTGGCACTGAGACTGAGACTGGCGCTGCTACCAACTCCGAGGGTGCTACCACCAACTCTGAGGGCGAGACCATCCAGCCCACTGGCACCGAAACCGGCACCGAGACTGGTACTGAGACTGGTACTGAGGCCACTTCTTCTGCTACATCTGCTCCTGGCTTCCCCGGCTCTATCCTTGACTTTGCTTTCTTCGGCTGTGTCGGTTCCACCGAGGGCTTCCCTACCTTCGAGCTCCTTCAATCTTCTGGCTCCATGGATCTCAACCTCTGCGCCAGCCTTGCCGAGGGCCGTGCTTACTTTGGTGTCCACGATGAGGACTGCTATGCCGGTGACGAGATCGACGGTGAGAACACCAGCCGTGTCGACTCTGACCAGTGTGACATCGAGTGCCCCGGTGACGACTCTGAGTTCTGTGGTGGCGATGCTCCTCTTACTCGCCGCAGCCGCATCCAGGCCCGCCAGGCCATCTCCAACACCATCCGCCTCACTGTCTACGTCGCTGTCAACGGCCCTGATGTCACCGTCACCGATGTCCTCACTGCTACCGTCACTGACCAGTCTACCCTGACCACCACCTTCACCACCACCATCTCTGATGCCACTGCCACTTCCACTGAGACCGTCACTGCCATCTACGTCTGCACCAACGGCAAGTGCTACCCCGAGAACGGCAGTGGTTCCAAGGTTGTCTTCATCTTTGTTGGTTACCCCGGTGAGGACTGCGACGGCGAGATCGTCTACATCCCTGAGGCCTGCTCTTGCCAGGGTGGATCTCAATACGTCCCCAAGTACTGCTCCAACGGCAGCTGCCACGGTCTTACTGTCTACAAGCCCGAGGAGTGCAAGGACTGGTACAACCACGACAACTTCTTCGTCCCCGCTGACTGTGAGGTCTGCAAGGGCGGTGACATCGTCTACAAGCCTTGGGAGAACACCTGGGGTACCCCCGCTGAGTGCCACGAGGCTGAGGTCCCCAGCTGCACCAAGGATACCTGCCCTACCAACGGTGGTGGCTCCAAGGGAGGCAACGGTGGCTCCGGCGGAAACGGCGGAAACGGTGGTAACGGAGGCAACGGTGGTAACGGCGGCTCTGGAGGTAACGGTGGCAGCGGAGGCAACGGTGGAAACGGAGGCAACGGCGGCTCCGGCTCCAACGGTGGCTCTGGTTCTAACGGCGGATCTGGCTCTGAGGGCAGCTCCGGTTCCGAGGGATCCGGCTCCAAGGGCAGCTCCGGCTCCGAGGGCTCCGGCTCCAAGGGCGAGAGCGGTTCCACCGTCCCCGTCACCGTCAGCAGCGCTGGCAAGCAGGCCGTCAGCGCCCTTGCTCTCCTCGCTGCTGTTGCCGCTCTTCTCTAAGCGACTCGCTTTGAGTAGTTTCTAATCTTGTTTGCCTTCCTTTCTGGTTTTCTCTTTGGGAAGATCCACTATACAAATGGGGGCATTGTCTTGTGCCACTGACTTTGTAGTTAGACTTAATGCAGTTTCAATTCTACTGGGGTTTAGGGGAATAGCCTATCTGTAGTCAACTAATAATGACGCTCTTTTTTGCTTTCAACTATCATTTCCTGCATTGTGACTTCAAACCTGTTGACAATTATGTTGCCCAGTTGCTTCTTGTTTGTTTTGGCTCATGCTTGGTATGCTCTGTTTCATTTGACTCTTGCCTTGTTTATGTCTCAGTCACCGCGATGCAGATGACGAACCTTGAAACATGTAAAGAATGTGACTCTCCTTATGGATGTCGCATGAGACTCACAGCCATGTTGATTACTTAGCCCTAGAGAGCAAGGAAACATGAGACTTTACAAAAGGATGCTAAACCAAAATCAGCAAAGACTCTCATAAACTTAGGCTAAACTTTCTAAGTCTTCCAAGCCTGGCAAGACAAGAATGCAGCTTCCGGTGACGTGACCTTCAAAAGCATGGGGTTCATCTATCACTGCACTACACTCACTCCTGATGCATACATAACATTTGTTTCTTCTCACCCTTTACCTCATGTACAAGAATGTATCATGTTTCTCAAAAGACTCCCAAGCGCCTCAGCTAAGAAGAGGAGCCACCAGAGGACGAGCTGTCAGACAAGCTCTCGTTTGCTTCATCGGTATTCCAGCCACTTCCAGAATCGCTACCTCCCTCGAAAGCAACCTCAGCGGAGTTGTCCTCATATGCTGGACCAGGCTGCTCCTCTTTTTGATCATAGACTGGAGCACCATTATCCTCCTTCTGGTATTCAGGCGTCCATTCTGAAGACATCTTGGTGTGACTAGCTCCAGTCAGCCTGGGGCTTCAATAGATTCAGAGCATAGGACAAAAGGGGACGTACATGACGGTTTATCAACGTAAATAACGGAGTATTTTTCGAGTCAAGGCTCTTTGACTTCTAAGACAGTAGTGTTAGCTAATATCTTCTTAAGAGGAATACATGGGCAATGACAAACATACAGAAGGGATGAGTGATAGCAATATCTTCGTGTTGCGCGAGGAAGAGGAACCTCACTTTATAGAAATCGGTTCGGGATGGATGCCGCTCTGTGATCGGCCGATGCCCGGTATAGCTACGGCTTCACATATCAACCGGGCGTGATAGTCTACGCTGTGGCGCAACTATTACAGCTACACTTTCAAATGGGCGAGGTTCTATAGGCGATTCTTTGTAGTGGTGTTGCAAAGTGCAAGTAGGCTACCTATGAGATGCGAGTAGTGCACAGCCTGGGGGGCCTCAAAATATGCTTCTTGGATATATGATGAGTTATGTCTCCATTGTACATCGATGGCCACGAAGATTGAAGATCCGAGCTAACAACAAGAACTTGCACTTTCGCCTTACTGTTGGACCATTGGTGAGGCTCTACGCCCTTGAAGATAAAATACTTTGTTATCATGATGATCTGATTGAAGCAGCCATGCCCGTCATTGTATCGACTACGCCAATGCCGTAGTATTGCGATGCTGCAATAGCTTGAAGTGCTTCGGGTCCAATCAGCTTTTATCATCTTCTTACTCGGACGCGAGTTTATCTACACAACCCTGAACAATCTCGCGATATCAAGCGACATACCTGTTCTTGGCAATAATTTTTCGCTTACACCATGTCCCCCCACTTGTAAGAGATAAACACACAACACGGCAGAATTACCAGATCCGTTAATTTTCACAGTCAGGCCTTCACATTCGCAGTCGGACCGCCTCCTCCCGTGAAACAGGTATAGATCTGAGCAGACGGTCGCATGATAATAAAGCACATAATCGCAGGTAATAAAGATATAAGCTTAACCTGCAAGCGTCGGGTCTTGGCCGACGGATATCGCCCGTTTGGGAGAATGTCGTTCTTTAGGCGGCGAATGACGCGAGAACTGCAGACGCGGGAGTGACCCGCTAAATTCCTATCTCGAGTTTCACATCTGTCATGGTTTGGTGATGTGAAGACAGGGTCGTGATGGTATATAACCTGAGCCGTCTTTTCGTTAATGGATTTTTTGAATTGTTTGTTATCAGTTTATATACTCATTTCTTTGAGAGATAGCTGTGATCATGGCGACAGATACAGCTGAGACTGTGACATATCCTCCTCAAACGGGCATCTTTAAACATATCTCTAAAGCGATACCTTATTTTCGCAATCCTAGACATGTCTTGATTCTCAAGCTTGATTGTCTTCTTCTGACGTGGACTTTTATTGCTGGTATCATGAAGGAGATGGATCAGTCTGCAACGACTCAGGCATATGTTTCTGGAATGCGAGAAGCTTTGGGTCTGTACGGTAATGAGCTGGTCTTTTTCAACACCTACTTCTCTATTGGATATGCCATTGGTCTTGTTCCTGGGCAGTTGGCACAGACGAGGGTGAGTGAAAGAAACTCAGCACTGCAAGTAACGCTAATCAGTTCAGGTTCGTCCATCTCTGTTTTTACCAACTTGCGAGATCATCTGGGGTCTCTTTGTTATCGTGTAAGTCTCTAATCATACGCCTATGTGATCATGGTCCACTTACATAGACAACAGCACCTGCAAAGCCCAGAACGCAACAACCGTCTACGCCCTCCGCTTCTTCCTCGGTCTCTTCTCAGCCGTATTCTGGCCCAGCGTCGTCTCCCTCATCTTCAACTGGTACACCCCCAAAGAACTCGCCTTCCGAATCGCCTGCTTCAACGTCTCCGACGTCGCAGGAGCCATGTTTCTCGGTGCCCTCCAAGCAGCTCTGTACCGTAACCTAAACGGCGCTCATGGAATCGCCGGCTGGCAGTGGCTGTTCATTGTTTCGGGCGTCATCACCATTGCTCAGGGGATTGTTGGTTTCTTTATTATTCCTGATACGCCTGCGTACACGCGTGCCAAGTGGTTGACGGAGGATGAGAAGAGATTCTCTCGTGAGCGTATGGAGGGCTTTGGCGCGAATACGTCGAAACTTATTCCTCCGGCTATCTTGAAGCAGAAGCTGCGCAGGTTGATCGTTCATCCTGTGACGTACTTCTTCCTCGTGGCCTTTGCGCTGAGTGCTTGGGCACACCGTGCGACTTCTTACTTTGTCCTTTATATCGAAAGTCTCAAGGATGAAGCTGGGAACCGTATGTATAGCACATACCAGGTCAACGTCCTTCCCCTAGGCGGTTATGCTTTGCAGATTGTTTCCAATCTTATCCTAAACGGCTTGTCGGACTGGAAACACTGGAGATGGCAGATCAGTACTGGATCTACATTTTCCTTTGGTGTCCTCCTTTGCGTTCTCTGTGCTTGGCCCTCAGATCAGAAGGTTGTTATGGCATTCTACTTCATGACCTACGCTGCCAACGCCGGAGCTCCATCGCTGATGGCGTGGTTTGCGGAAATTATGCGAAAGGAGCCAGAAGCGAGAGCAATTGTTGTTGCACTCACGGTTATGATTGTGTATATCGGCCATGCAACGATTCCCCTTCGTGCTTTCAGAGTGGCAGATGCACCACAATATCCTATTGGATTTCCACTGGCTACAGCAATGTCTTTTGCATCGGTTTTCGTGCAACTTGGCTTGCTATGGTGGGCTCGTAGAAACCCCCAGCTTGTCAAAGGTGGTTTTGAGGGTACTGCGATCGACTCGAGAGTGTCTGATGAGGAGAGCTCTGGAAGTATCGGTGATGGAGCAAGTGATCGAGAGGGAGTGCATGGAGAGAAGACTGCAGATTCAGTGGTTTCAAAGGTCAACCAGTAGAAGTATCTTGTCGTTCTTTGTAGATAATTCAGTTTAAGATATACCCTCGACGACTCAGCACAGCAAATTTCCCAGTATCTTGCTCCAGTACAAATATGATCGGATAGAAGCCATAGCAAACATAATAACGCATGTCTATAAAGAATGCCAACGTTCATGCTCCTTCCTAAAGAAGTAATTAGCTACATGAACTCTATTAGATGAAACCTGTGAGACTGGTCGGTTAAGAAATAAGCTTAATTCGACCAGGTCCAAGTGTAACATAACGCCCGCAGGCATGTCGGCTAAGTCACGTTGATCACAGTGATTCTACAGACTTTACGTTAGATGATGCGAACATAACAGACGACTTTCAAGAAATAACAGCATGCATAGGAATGCTACAGCTATTATCAAAGTATTGGATGTTTTGGACATTGCGGGAGTATGAGCTGCTTGGGTTTACGCATCAATATCAGAAGAACACAGCTTCTCTAAAGCGACTAAGCCATAAGATATTTCCTTTTATCCCTCCGCACTCCTTAGTCATATCCTTCTCACTGTAACTCAAATCAGTGTTCTGTGGAATCGACACGACATCGACTTCAGCAGAAGCAGTCGTTTCAGTCGGTTTCGAGGCCCAGCAACTGAAAGATTTCCAGACTTAATCCAGAGGATAATTACTAAAACAAAATGCCGATGAAGACTTATAAAGCAACATGTGTTTCGTGGTCCAGCATTGAGATACCAGTCTACATGTCGTATCGTTGCGTCGTATGTTGGTAAGAGTCGTCTCTCTGACACTTCTCAACATGCAAGAAAGGATTTGTAACAGCTAACTCTTTAAAGACTTTTTATTATGTAACTTCTCTTGTTACCAAGTTAACTAAGGGACCAGAATAATACCTGGTCACTCTTTCGTGTTTCCAACGGGAGATGTTGAAGGCTGCTTGAACTCTCCAACAAGTGCCAGATACACAAAATCGTGCCTTTCACATATCTTACTTAGCTCTTAGCTTCTAAAATAACGATAAGTAGCTCTTAGGCGTGTACTGATCTCAGTATAACGCCTTTCTGGCATATGGTTCAACTATTTTGGTCAGATGACAACTTTTCGGTGAACGTCAAGATACACTATCCTGCTACTTTTATGACAATTTTTTGCAAAGCCGACTTCATTCATGACATGCTTCTTAAGTCATCTCTCAATTTGTTCACTCAAGATCTTGGGATCCAGATTCCGCCTGTTAGCCGAAAGACATCAATACTCAGCTAGGTCCATATGAGCAGCTTAGTCCAGAACAACTTGACACAACACCCATCCCTCAAGGTCAAATACTGATCCAAGCTTTTCCCCGACATTTACAGCAACTCTTTTTTATCCAGATTGCCCAATACTTCAACGAGTGCCCTGAAACGCCCAAGGCTCTTCTCGAGACATCAGGGGCTAAATGTAAGCTTCGACCATGATACTTTGTTTCAACGCCCTACGGAAGATCATGGTTCAGTTTTAAAAATAGAAGTCCCCTTGGCTTACTTCAAGAAGACTTTCGTTAAGGTTTCTTTACCTCAGGGGCGAAGGAGTGAGTAGCTACGGGAGGAATAAAACTCGGGAGCTTGATCCTCAATGGCAAGAAGACTTGGGTAAATCAGCATAATTTTAGAATTATTTTTACTAAATTTAGGATACCTATTGTATTGCAATGTCCCATATTAAAACCTGATATTCTTTGCTCTTTGAGGAGCAACTAGTTATGAAAGTAACTTGTCTCATCTTTCGTGGTCTTGCAATGCCGAGATCTGTTCATGATGCATCACAACGCCAAGAATATCCGAATTCATTTGATGTTAGGTCTCGGGGTTCGCATATTGAAGGCTTTGGGGGCCGAGGATGAAGCAATGCAAGTCAACCTTGCACATGTGTTTAAGCTTAAATACCCAGCATGTGATTGTCCAAGCATGAGCCCTCAGGGGTCATTCAAGCGCCATGCAGCTTTAGTGCTTATTGCAGAAGTTCGAAAGCATATGAAGGTTCAATCAGAGACTTCAAGTCATCAAAGGCCAGACGTTAACATCTAAATGTTTCAAGTCAACCAACACGATTATCCATGCCACCAGTGGCAACAAATATACGAACAAGCTTCACGCGGAAGCAACCTCCCGAACCCGAGACCGTCGCAAGCTCACCGTAGTCGTATGTTCATTTCATGCGTCCGAACCAACACAGCAAAAAGACCCATCCCTCAGTTGGTTCACAAGCACATCATACGATGCATTGCCACCCCAGAGCCTGCTAGTAAAAGGACACTATTGTTCTTCAGGCTACCGAGAAAGACGGGATATCAAGGTACAGAGTAACTAATGGTCAACTATTGGACTGTCAGGATTTAATGGTCGCTCAATTTCCGTAAATTACTGAGTTCGGAGGATCAAGCTCGATATGACAGGTAATATTAAAAAAGACCCTTGTTCAAAAAGAAAAAGTCTAGAATTCTTCTTCAAAAGCAAAAAAGAAAAAGTAAAGAAAATCACTTGCAGAAGCTGATCAGCGCCTGATTGAGTTTACTCTGTGTTACAGCGATGAACCCGAGATCTTCAATTTTTTACGTTACGATCTCGATGGGCGCCGTATTTCTGACGTTTTTCGAGTCCCATTAATTGAGACATTTTCCCGTCTTTCTCATTACGAAAAAGTTATCATAAAGCCCAGATTCTATACAACAATTTCACTGGACCATGGGATATCCCGGTCCTGCTGGATATCCACTTACAGGGCCTCGCTACAGGGCACTCTTCAGTTTTCCGAGTGAAACGGCGGGCGACGGTGGATTTTTTACAGCGCTGGAGCACCGTAAGCAGCCCCCGCAAATGTTACGGTCTCGGCCCGATTGTTGCTGTCCTGTCAGTGATTATTGCCGTCTCTTTGAGCAGTCAGTGCAGTTTGTGATCGTCGTTGAAAAGAATTGATTGGGGGTCTGTTATTGGTTCCTTGGGTGATTATCTTGAGACATTACGAATTATGCAAAAAGCAGACGAGTAAATGGTATCCGAGTACTGTGAAAACGTTGCAGTGCAGTGCCTGGTATCATCTTGAACCCCCTCAAAAACACACCAAGCCCTACCATCGTCGCCTAGATGAATCTTCCTAGTGTCCCACGGGGGAGGGGAAAGGGAATCTGTCGTCAACCCGCGCTTCTTACGTACAACAAAAGCAAATATTTAAATATTCCGACGATTATAATCGTGGAGGTTACGACAGACGAGAAGAACGGGTCTCCGGTAAGAGGAGCCGGATCAGCCCCTGAGCTGAAGCTGCAACGTTTCCCTCACGATATGCTCCTTTTTTTTTTACACGAGTGACTGACCGTGTCAGAATCCTGGACTACCAAAGCTCTTGGCGTGAGACCAACAGAACGGAGTTGTTCCGTTTCTCTTCTAGCGCCAAATGCACAAAATATGGATCGGCGGGCTTCTAGAGTGCGTTCCGTACATAGCCGAGCTTTTCCCAGTAGAGCCGTGGCTTTTTTTCATGTGCAGGGGGGCTAACAAACCGCAGAGGCAGAGGCAGAGAGCGAGCAGAGAGAGAGGGCCCCTGAACTCCTGAGTCTGTCTTGTCTTTTGAGGCCTGATCCAAGCTTTGTTGAACCCTTTTCTCCAGGTATGTATTCCTCTGCCGTCTTCCGATACAGAGCTTTTGTTGGTTGATCTCACTCACACTACGTACCCCAGGCCCAGTTTATTCCCTCTTTCGCGCCGAGCCTCCCCCTCTATTCGCACCGACACCGATCCCCAAATCTCTACTATATCTGCAACATACCTACCTATCACAATGTCAGGCCTCGACGCACCAGAAGTCAGCGCAGCGTACGACGCCGTGCGCTCAGACAAGGACGAGACAAACTGGCTGCTCATCTCGTACGCGTCCGCCGTGGGGAACAAGCTGAGCCTCACCAAGACGGGAACGGGCGGTCTGGCCGAGATGGTCGAGGAGCTGGACGACGGGCAGGTGCAGTACGGCTACGTGCGCGTCGAGTACGCCAACGACAAGGAGAGCAAGCGCGTCAAGTTTGCGCTCGTCGTCTGGATCGGCGAGAACACCAAAGTCATGCGGAAAGCGCGCGTCAGCATCGAGAGCGGCGATGTGAAGCGGGTGCTCTCGCATCACAGCATCGCGGTCACCACGGGGGATCGGTCCGAGCTGGATGAGGGGGACATCGTCGTGCGGTTGAGGAAGGCCGGTGGTGCTGATTACAACGGCGGTCGGGGTTGAAGATACGCGACGATAGCTTCAACATCACGGAGTACATATCTTGCACCCGTACATATCAATAATACACAGCGTTCTTGCGGCTCGTTATCTTGGACGAACCGGTCACGTGCGTGCGGGAGATAGACAGGTTTTCGTTATCTATCACGGAAATGTCGCCGGACTTCTTAGATAGGAATAAGGCGAGGGATCAAGGAAACGAGGGGTAACGATGTTTTGACGATTCTTGAAGCTTGAATACCCCAAACTTTGTGATAACTAGGCCAAGGCTATCAATCCCTCCCTCAAACCACGTTTAGATGCCAGGATTGCCGGGGCAGGGCGCGGGTGCTGATACCCTGACGATCACATACTGGATATTCACCAGATTAGGTAAAGTTGGAGATTGGGGATGCATCGATGGTGCATTCAATTCAATCCCGGCATTCGGGGTTTGATAGATATGATGGGTGAGTTTGTAAGGTGAATGTGCATGATCTGCCTGTTTCACAAGCAACCTCTTCGACCGTCAAAGCTCGCAGCACATGTCTGCCAATATCTGTATCAGTCCTCGGGTGAAACCTACCAGCCAACCACCACCTACCACCACCGCCTAACCAGTAGCTAACAGTTAGCAAATGAAAGACGGCTGAAAGCTTGGCTCAGTAATTGGCACTCTCAGATCCAACCTATGAAACGCGGTATTTTACTCTGGCAGAACTAATCTCCTTCCAGTTTGAGCTGTCGACGCCGAAACCTTGTATCGGCTTGGCCGTCTTGTGCACCCACTTTAGAGGTTAGTAGCATGACGTAGGGGACCTATCGCATCGTGTTTCCCCGGTCGTTGAATGAATCGCTTTTTCCTCTTCAGCCCCGCGGTTAGCCTATCAGACGGTGGATGCTCGGTGGGAGAGTTGATGATGGCGTTGTAGCCACTGTTAAGGAGAGCTGTCATCTTCGAGTACACTCATTGTATTACAGGAGAGTAAGCATTGTACTCACTAACAATTTCACTGTCTGGCTGTCAGTCGCTGCAATCAGTCACTCGTCCCCCCCTGTTCCTTGGCCCGTATCTAGAACCTGACCCTTGGCTTTCCATCCGTCTCCAGTCCCTTTCTCACCTTTTCCTCTTTCAGACGTTGGCTTGAGCAATCCCTGCCCCCGTGGATGGCTGTTGATTGCCACCACGCACCCACGCACATGGAGAACTCCACTCCCGCAGCGACACTGCAGTAGATAATTTAGCGTTTGCCCACTCTCACTCTCTCTCTGTCCCCTCTCCCATGCCTTGATTGCTTGTCTAGGTTCGGTCTAACTAAACATACGGAGTACTCCAAATCTCTTCAATGGTCACTCTTCCCCAGATTCAATTCCTTTCTTTTTAAATCCCCTCACATTCCCACGCCTTTTCGCATCGCGTGTCACTCTCTTTTCTTCTCACCTCTCACCTCTCTCCCTCTACAACAACACCCTTGTTGTAGTTGTTCTTTCATCCTCTCCCTCCCGATTATGTCTAAGCACGACTCGGCCAGCACAAGCACCGGAGTCATGGACCCCGTCGCAGAGCAGAAGCCTCGTCGAGGCTCAAAGGCCTCGCTCGGAAACACTGATGGCGCCGACCAGCTCCTCGAGAACCTGGGCTACAAGGCTGAGCTGTCGCGTAACCGCTCTACCTTCCAGGTCGCCTTCATGTCCTTCGTCCTCGCTTCCATCCCCTACGGTCTCGCTACCACCCTGGTTTACCCTCTGATTGGAGGCGGTCCCGTCAACGTCATCTGGGGCTGGCTCGCCGTCTCCCTCATCATTGTCTGTGTTGCTTGCTCTCTCGGTGAAATCACCAGTGTCTATCCTACTGCTGGAGGTAAACAAAAACATATTATTCCTCCCAATTGCTTGCGTCCCAATGTGAACTTGTAACTGATCGCGTGATACTATAGGTGTTTACTACCAGGCCTTTATGCTCTCTCCTCCCCGATGGCGTCGCATTGCTAGCTGGATCTGTGGCTGGCTCTATCTAGTTGGAAACATCACCATCACTCTCGCCGTCAACTTCGGTACCGCCCTCTTCATCGTCGGCTGTGTCAATGTCTTCGAGAAGAGCCCTGGCGTTGGTGTCCTGTCGGGAGAGGCTTACCAGGTCTTCCTGATCTTCCTTGCCCTGACTATCCTGTGCAATGCTGTCTCTGCGCTCGGTAACAAGTGGCTTCCCTGGATTGATGTATGCTTGCCCTCCGTTCCTCTGCTTGTGAACGTAATTGTTGCTGATACCTCGCTCAAAGACCGCCGCCATCTTCTGGACCTTCGCTGGTCTCATCGCCATCATCGCTACTATCCTTGCCATCGCTAAGAACGGACGCCGTGATGCTAACTGGGTCTTCACACACTTCGAGGACAACTCTGGCTGGCCCAAGGGATGGTCTTTCTGTGTCGGTCTCCTCCACGCTGCCTATGCTACTTCTTCTACTGGAATGATTATCTCGTGAGTTCCCAGTCTACCAACTAACTCAACCTCGTAACAACCGTGCTAACATGGTATAGCATGTGTGAGGAGGTTCAGAACCCTCAGGTCCAGGTCCCCAAGGCCATGGTCGCCACCATCTTCATCAACACCTTCGCCGGTCTCCTCTTCCTCGTCCCTCTCATGTTCGTCATGCCCGAAATCCAGGACGTCATCGTCTCCGCCCAGCCTGTGCCTCTCATTATCAAGAGCGCTGTTGGCAGCTCCGGCGGTGCCTTCGGTCTCCTCATTCCTCTCATCGTTCTCGCCATCATCTGCGGTATCGGCTGCACAACTGCCAGTTCTCGATGCGCTTGGGCTTTCGCTCGTGATGGTGCTATTCCCGGTGCCAGGATGTGGTCCAAGGTCAACACCTCTCTCGATGTTCCACTGAACGCTATGATGCTCTGCATGGTTGTCGAGATCGTCCTCGGTGTCATCTACTTCGGTTCTTACGCTGCTTTCAACGCTTTCTCTGGTGTCGGTGTCATCTGCTTGACTGCTTCTTATGCCACTCCCATTGCCATCAGTCTCGCTACTGGTCGCAAGCAGGTCAAGACTGGACAGTTCTACCTCGGAAAGTGGGGTGCTGTCGCCAACTGGATCGCTCTGGGTATGTGTAGTTTTCCTCTATCGTGATATGTCTTGCTAACTCCTCATCAGCCTGGTCTCTGTTGGCTATGCCTCTCTTCTGCATGCCCTCCGCCATCCCCGTTACCCCCGAATCCGTCAACTACGCCCCCGTCGTCTTCGTCTTTGCGTGCATGGTTTCTGGTATCTGGTACTGGGCTTGGGGTCACAAGAACTACGCTGGTCCTCCTACCCACGAGGACTAAGCTGTTGAAGCAAGCAGGATCTAGATGCTTGACAGTGCAGTGCGCTTCGCTTCCTTTGACATTTCATATCAATATCAGTCAGTATATATGTGCGACAGTTTAATTCGTGCCTATGCTTGCCAGCGCGATGTGCTTGATACCCCCGCCCGGCCTGTACTCAGGGTCTGTGATGCTCTTGGTATTAGCTAGAAGATATCCATAATTCAATATTGTTAAGCTTCAACATAATTGTCTCATTACGCTGTTTAGTTGTAGTAGATCTAGTAGCTCGTAGTCTTGTGCGCCGCCTGTTGCATGCTTAACTGACGAGCAGCCGTGTCGTAGACCTGGAGCTGTCTGGACCGGCGTGGGTATACCCTTACGACTGGCATTGACAGTCTTGATGCAATGTACAGTCGGTCCTTCATGTGTTTCTCTTGAGCCAGATCCTTCAATTGAGTCATGCGCGCTGGTCGACCTCCCAGATTGTCCACAGGTTGCATCTTCATTCTCAATCTGAACGTAAACTCTCCCACTTCACTTTAATCATTCTCGCTCAATCTCTCTGAAACTCTTGAGGTTGTGTGAGGATCTCATTGGGAAGTGGTAGGCCCAAAGACGAGGCTATCGTCACGCCAACATCGACGTCGAGCACCGGAGATGTGCAGAATCTAGAACAGAATGATATCCCAATCCTCGCATGACGGCATCTCTGATATATTTGTTATGCTTAAACTTTATATAGATATAATACGAAGTTACTGATACAAAGAATGCTCGATTGTAGTGTCATGCTGGGGCCGTCTGGTTCATACTCAACATACCGACGCTGGCACCTGAGTTCAGTACAGATACAATTTGTCGAGCAACGTTATTTCATATATCATGAAGAGCTCATTTCTTTCTTCTTTTTCAGCAGAGTATTATTAATTGCTGGCCTTATATTCCATTCTATATAGAATCAAGAGTGCACAGTTTCTACCTTTCCAGCACTCATTGTCAGAACTAGACTTCCTCGAAGATATTATTGGATATCTCAGTAGTAGTCTCGGGTACGGAACTTCTTCTCTCAGTCTTTATACTATTTGAAACTTATCTTGTCGCTTCTAAGCTTGTGGAATGGCTGCAAGCAGGGCGATACTGTTCACGTAACGGGCGTTGAGCTTCATCAGCCGACTACAAGCGCGACTGTGCTCAACTCTACAACTTCCAGATACTGTTACATTTTCTCATATCATATTTCCCAGGTGATCTTCTAATTTAGAGTTGGTGGTTGTCCAGACTCGTGTGTGTTGACAGTATATCTTTCTAGGAGGATATCGAACACGATCACGCAACCGGTCCAAGAAACCATTTCTCTCTATCAAGGCTGATCATAACGCAGTAAAGCCCTTCCTGTACTTTCACTCAGCCCTATTGGTGGTCCTCGGGCATCTATAGTGTCTCGAATACATGTATTCCACGATATAAAATCACGAACAGCCAGTCTACGACTTGAGCAGTCAAATCATTGCCAGCTTTCAGTTATAGACCTGCTAGTTGGCCACAAATTTGAAATCTAGGCTACCAAAACATATCACAGCAATATATACTTCCCTTTCATGATATGGCTTCTGCCCAAACCTTCCACGGTGACCCGTGAATCTTACATCCATCAAGCCCCTAGGGCTTTACAGGGGAAAATGACAAAGTCAATACATTTTAGCTGCCTC